AGAGTGGTGAAGCAATGTAAAAAGAGAGCAAATGAGAGAGTGGGTGAGATGTTATCAACAAATTTTGTTGAAAATAAGAAAAAGTTTTGGAGTGAGATTAACAAGTTAAGAAAGCCTAGAGAACAAATGGATTTGTCAGTTAAAAATAGGAGAGGAGAGTTATTAAATGGAGAGTTAGAGGTTATTGGGAAGATGGAAGGAATATTTTGAGGAATTGTTAAATGTTGATGAAGATAGGGAAGCTGTGATTTCGTGTATAGGGCAAGGAGGAATAACATCTTGTAGGAGTGAGGAAGAGCCAGTTGTGAGTGTGGGGGAAGTTCGTGAGGCAGTAGGTAAAATGAAAGGGGGGAAGGCAGCCGGGATTGATGGGATAAAGATAGAAATGTTAAAAGCAGGTGGGGATATAGTTTTGGAGTGGTTGGTGCAATTATTTAATAAATGTATGGAAGAAGGTAAGGTACCTAGGGATTGGCAGAGAGCATGCATAGTTCCTTTGTATAAAGGCAAAGGGGATAAAAGAGAGTGCAAAAATTATAGGGGGATAAGTCTGTTGAGTGTACCTGGTAAAGTGTATGGTAAGTTTATAATTGAAAAAATTTAAAAAGAGTAAGACGGAGAATAGGATAGCAGATGAACAAGGAGGCTTTAGGAAAGGTAGGGGGTGTGTGGACCAGTGTTTACAGGGGAAACATATAAGTGAACAGTATTTAGATAAGGCTAAAGAGGTCTTTGTGGCATTTATGGATTTGGGAAAAGGCGTATGACAGGGTGGATGGGGGGGCAATGTGGCAGATGTTGCAATGTATGGTGTAGGAGTAGGTTACGAAAGCAGTGAAGAGTTTTTTACGAGGATAGTGAGGCTCAAGTTAGAGTATGTAGGAAAGAGGGAAATTTTTTCCCAGTAAAAGTAGGCCTTAGACAAGGATGTGTGATGCACCGTGGTTGTTTAATATATTTATAGATGGGGTTGTAAGAGAAGTAAATGCGAGGGTCTTGGCAAGAGGCGTGGAGTTAAAAGATAAAGAATCACACACAAAGTGGGAGTTGTCACAGCGCTCTTTGCTGATGACACTGTGCACTTGGAGATTCTGAAGAAAGTTGCAGAGATTGGTGGATGAATTTGGTAGGGTGTGCAAAAAAAGAAAATTAAAAGGTGAATACAGGAAAGAGTAAGGTTTATGAGGAAACAAAAAGATTGGGTGATGAAAGATTGAATATCAGTTTGGGAGGGAGAGAGTATGGAGGAGGTGAACGTATTCAATATTTGGGAGTGGACGGTCAGCAGATGGGTCTATGAAAGATGAGGTGAATCATAGAATTGATGAGGGAAAAAGATGAGTGGTGCACTTAGGAGTCTGTGGAGACAAAGAACTTTGTCCTTGGAGGCAAAGAGGGGAATGTATGAGAGTATAGTTTTAAACCCAAAGCTCTTATATGGGTGTGAAGCGTGGGTGATGAATGTTGCAGCGAGGAGAAGGCTGGAGGCAGTGGAGATGTCATGTCTGAGGCAATGTGTGGTGTGAATATAATGCAGAGAATTCGTAGTTTGGAAGTTAGGAGGGGGGTGCGGATTACCAAAACTGTTGTCCAGAGGGCTGAGGAAGGTTGTTGAGGTGGTTCGGACATTAGAGAGAATGGAGCGAAACAGAATGACTTCAAGAGTGTATCAGTCTGTAGTGGAAGGAAGGCGGGGTAGGGGTCGGCCTAGGAAGGGTTGGAGGGAGGGGGTAAAGGAGGTTTGTGTGCGAGGGGCTTGGACTTTCCAGCAGGCATGCGTGAGCGTGTTTGATAGGAGTGAAATGGAGACAAATGGTTTTTAATACTTGACGTGCTGTTGGAGTGTGAGCAAAGTAACATTTATGAAGGGATTCAGGGAAACCGGCAGGCCGGACTTGAGTCCTGGAGATGGGAAGTACAGTGCCTGCACTCTGAAGGAGGGGTGTTAATGTTGCAGTTTAAAAACTGTAGTGTAAAGCACCCTTCTGGCAAGACAGTGATGGAGTGAATGATGGTGAAAGTTTTTCTTTTTCGGGCCACCCTGCCTTGGTGGGAATCGGCCGGTGTGATAATAAAAAAATATAAAATGATTGAGGTGTATAAACAGGAATGAATAAACGGGATGTAAATAGCGTGCTGAAAATATCTAGCCTAGACAGGACTCGCAGCAATGGCTTTAAGCTGAAAAAAAATCAGATTCAGGAAGAATATAGGAAAGCATTGGTTTGGTAATTGAGTTGTGGATGAGTGGAACAAACTCCCAAGTACCGTCATAGAGGCTAAGACGTTGTGTAGTTTTAAAAATAGGTTAGATAAGTACATGAGTGGGTGTGCTACTAGGTCACATGCCGTGCTCCTACCTTAAGTGAACGTGACCTGACCTGACTAGGTTAAGGCATTGGCTTAAGCCAGTAGGAGAATTGGACCTGCATGTGTCAGTAGGCCTGTTGCAGTGTTCCTTCTTTCTTGTGTTTTTATATGACGTAGATGACGAAGTGATGGAGGAAAATTCAATATCTAGTTTCAAGAGTAGGTATGATAGGACCAACGAGACAAGGATTCATTGATGCCGGTGGCCATAGATTAAGACGGGGCCAGGAACTGAGAATCGACCCCTCACATAAACAACTGAGTGAGTACACACGGTTAATGGTTACACTACAGTGGATGAGATAAAACAATGTAAATAGAAATTAGAAACACTCACACTTGCTCAGCACCATATATAAGACAGTGATAGTGACCTGGAAAACATTATCAAACACAAACAATACATAGGGTATGGAAACACAAAATACACCATACTTCAGCCTCACCACTGTTGCAACAGCCACATTGTAGCTGCATAACAAAACTGAGTGAATCATTAGTGCAATTATCCCATCCTTTAAATCCCACTATAAATGCTAAAGTGGGTTTGAATGCGAAGTGAATGTTATGTTATAATAGTGGTCTTGTCAGTGCTATGGTTGCATGTGTCTGGGACAACTGCTGTATGTCACAACACATTTTCTAAGCATACCCATACTTTTTTTAGTATGACTGAAGACCATGGAAAAAAGCAAATGATAGTTTTGAACGTTGGTCTTATTGTATATTTTTTTTCCAACCAATCATCTTAATACACCGTCCGAATACCGACTGTTTACAAACATTCCAGTTGTCACTGCAGGAGACAGACTCGTCAAAGGATTCATCACAGTTTCCAAATATCTTATTATCCACAAATTTCTAGATATACATCCTTTATGAGGATTGAGGAACTTATGCAATATATGTATATGGGAATCTTTATTGAGGAAACGTTTCGCCACACAGCGGCTTCATCAGTCCATCAGTATATTGGACTGATGAAGCCACTGTGTGGCGAAACGTTTCCTCAATAAAGATTCCCATATATTGCATAAGTGTCTCAATCTTCAACTTGTCGGTTTTTAAACCATTTATCACATACATCCATTACGATAGGTGAGGTTGGGTTAGGTGAGGTAAAGTTCCGTTAGGTTCAGATAGGTTTATGTAGGTTACATTGACATCCATCAACAAAAGTGATCTTTTATGACTCACGAAATCGAAATGACACGATTGCAAACAAACCATACCACGGGCGGGGATAGAACCCGCGATCAGAGTGTCTCTAAACTCCAGACTGTCGCGTTAGCCACTGGACCAGCTAGCCACAATAAGATTCGTCCAACTAGGAATATTTCTACACCATAGAAAGGTTAGCATAGGCACCACTGTGACCACAAATGCAAGTTTCGTGAGTCATGTTAACGGCTTTGAGGGGACTTGAGCTAGAGTTCTTCACGGCCACGCTAGCTGGAGATTCGTCTGTAAAAACTTGCATTTGTGGTCACAGTGGTGCCTATGCTAACCTTCCTATGGTGTAGAAATATACCTAGGTGGACGAATCTTATTGTGGCTAGCTGGTCCAGTGGCTAACGCGACAGTCTGGAGTTTTGAGACTCTCTGATCGCGGGTTCTATCCCCGCCCGTGGTATGGTTTGTGATCTTTTATACCATTCCAAAGCCAGTAAATTGTATATATAATAATGGTTAGAAAGAGATTTAAAACTAATAACTGTCACCGTTTTGACAGTCTTAGAAACAGCCAAATAACAGGATGGGCTGTCTTTTTCAATCTCAGTGGTTCCCGTTTCCTGTACGCTAGTCAAAATTTTCCCCTATACGCAATATTGCTCTTGTTAGCGTTAATGTATGCTACAATTGTTTATGTTTGTTTGGTGTTAACCTAATCTGACTTAAAACAGCATAGATAGATGAGTTGGCTTAAGTTAATACGTTAAATCCAGTTAAGACTGGTTAAGAGATAACTCACTCACTGGTGACATTCACATTATGGCGGGAGAATAACAAGAAGTATCTGCTGGCTATAGTGACTATAACGTCTAATGTGAATACAATACCTGCTGGACCTATGACGAACCTCGACTGAAACCTCACTGGCTTGGCTATCAGACTCAGTGGTGGTACACAAGAAGCTTCGCCAGTACACAACATAATCAGTAAATGTGATGGTTTACAAAACCCGAGAAGTTGAAGAATGAGACACGTGTACAACATTTTGGAATCTTAATTATAGAAACGTTTCGTCATTCACACTCAGTAAAGGTAACTTCAAGGCTCAAACAATAAACGTTCAAGGTTCAAGACTCACAACAAAACTTCCTAATTGATTAAATATAATACAATGTACATAACAAGCACAGTGATTACAAAATCTCTTAAGTGTCTGTCAGCAAAAATTGATTTGTGCACCATATATCAACACTTGTAACTTTGTACATACATCACATTCTAAATGTCCAACCACTTGGGGATGAAGGATGGTACTGATATTTAAATGCTAGCTATGTCAAGTCTTGTTTTCTGTACAGCCTCTGTCTAATTTAAGACAAACATTATGGAATGATGATAATCCTGAACTCTTGCAGATTCTTAGAGATGTCTCTCACTTCAGTTGTTTATAATTACAGTAAACGCCAGTGCAACAACATCCTTCTCAGGATTCAGTGATACATCAGTGAATATCTGATCCAAACCTTCATCAGACTCAGTGTTGACAATGGGTAAGTATTCACACCTCATTATAGTCGGAAATATTTATCTGACTTTCTTATTTTGGGTAAAAACATCTGGATCATTTTCTTGTCATGGGAAGATTACTTTGTTGTCACACAAGTCAGTTTTCCAGGCTAAGAGCTATTCTACTTCAGCTCATTTCAAAGTTCAGTCCTATCTAAGGCATTGTCATCCAAGGTAACTGACCCACAACAGTCGACTAACACCCAGGTACATATTTACTACTAGGTGAACAGGGGTATCAGGTGTAAAGAAACATACTTAACATTTCTACTCATGCAGGGGACACACATTTTTTCATGTTTTTGATGTTAAATATATCTCGTTATTCAGTTTATATTATAAATTCAGACTCTGTTAGAAGTCGCATATTTTTCATATTTTTCAGTTTTCTGTTCTTATGGTCTCTTGCGTCTCTCTCTCTCATCCCTTTTCCTTTTGTTGTTATCGAAGTCTAATTTAAGTTATAATCATTTTTTTTATTCTGTCTCTGTTCACTGGATGTATGAGTTATGTCATCTTGCCCTCATGATTTGTGAGTTATGTCATCTTGCCCTCATGATTTGTGAGTTATGTCATCTTGTCCTCATGATTTGTGAGTTATGTCATCTTGCAGCCATAATTTATGTTTTGTCTCCTTACAGCTGTGAATTTTGAATAATGTCGCCTGACCAGCAAAAAGTGATCAGTTATGAGCGTGCCTTCACAAAATTCAACTTCAGTAATAAAAACATACACTGGGAACAAGTCAACCATGTGATAAATGAAACAAGATGGGAATGTATCCTGATCAACACGGATCCGAATCTTTGCCTAGAAAAAATTAACTCTGGCACATGAGGTCTGCTCAAGGCACATTCCATTAAGAAACAGAAAGAGAAGATGTAAATTAGAAAGAGAGAGATGTTAGATATACAGCGAAAGCGAAGAATCATAGAGCTGTGCAAGAATGGTATATAATACCGACAAGATGAAATTAAGACACATGTGCAACATCTGGGTATCTTTATTGTAGACGTTTCGCCATCCAGTGGCATTATCAATACAAATTCTAGGACATAACTTGAAGACAGAAGGACTATATACAGAAGATGAGGTAATCAGTCCCTCAACCTAGGAGTAGGTGCGAAGAGCACCGTAGTCGTGGAGATTCTGAAGCAGAAGCAAGGAGCCTGGCGCTTATATAGTAACGTCAGGTGCAGCAGACGAGGGCATAGTCACTGGTAGGCGGGATTCCCCAGTGGAAGTAGGTCCTTCCCAAAGAGATGGGTTAGTTGTAGTAGTAGTTGTCGTAGTCGTGAAGGTTATGTACATGTCCTCAGAATCAAGATTCCATGATGTTGCAGTGTCTGACAAGTTGTGCAAGAATGGTATATAATACCGACAAGATGAAATTAAGACACATGTGCAACATCTGGGTAACTTTATTGTAGACGTTTCGCCATCCAGTGGCTTTATCAATACAAATTCTAGGAATTTTATCAATACAAATTCTAGGAATTTGTGTTGATAAAGCCACTGGATGACGAAACGTCTACAATAAAGATACCCAGATGTTGCACATGTGTCTTAATTTCAATCACAGATCTGTTGAGATGGGACAGTATATCTGCAATACGAAGGGAGGCACTGGTCGGAGAAATAGCAAATATCGAACTTGAGCTTAAAGAATCTTACAGGAGACAAGAATCTCAAGAAGAGCTTAAAGCCATCAGTGAAATTGAAAGAAACCCGAAATACTTCTTCTCTTATGACAAATCTAAGGCGAAAACACCATCCAGTATTGGACTCCTGCTTAGACGTGATGGGACATACGGATATGACAGCAAAGATATGAAATACTAAAGTCCCAATATGACTCAGTGTTCAGTGAGTCGTTAACCAGACTCAGGGTCGACAATCTAAATCATTTTTTATGACTGAGACTCAAAATTTGGTCACTTCAAAAATGTCTGATATTATCTTAACAGCACAAGACTTCGAAAATGCAATTAATGACATGCCCACGGACTCTGCCCCAGGCCCAGATTCGTGGAACACCATGTTCATCAAGAACTGCAAGAAGCACCTGTCACGTGCCTTCGACATGCTATGGAGAGGGAGCATGGACACATGAGTCATCCTACAGTCACTAAAAACAACAGACATAGCCCCACTCCACAAAGGTGGCAGTTAAGCATTTGCAAAGAACTACAAACCATTTCAAAGAAATCTTTGAGAGGGTTCTAAGAAGTATGATCGCCAACCTCCTAGATACCCATCAATTACACAACCCAGGGCAACACGGGTTTAGAGCAGGTCGCTTTTGTCTGTCCCCTGTATAGTCCTTGTGGCTTAGCGCTTCTTTTTGATTATAATAATAATAATTTTGTCTGTCCCAGATACTGGACCACTACGACAAGGTCTTGGATGCTTTATAGGATACACAAAATGCGGATGTAGTATACATAAGCTTCGCGAAAGCCTCTGACAAGTGCGACCATGATGTAATAGCACACAAAAATGCGTGAGAAAGGAATAACAAGAAAAATTAGTAGATGGATCTATAAATTCCTAACATATAGAACACAAAATACAATAAAAAACAGAGTAAAGTCTGACGCAGCTTCAGTGAAAAGCTCTGTTCCACATGGCATAGTACTCACTCATCCCATTCCTCATTCTTATATCTGACATGCATAAAGATGTAAGCCATAGCTCCGTATCTTCCTTTGTGGATGCACTAGACTTGCCATGACAGTGTCCTCCATCGAAGATACTGCAAGACTCTAAGCGGACATAAACCAAATCTTTAAATGAGCTGCAGAAAACAATATGAAGTTCAATGAAGAGAAATTTCAACTATTCAGATATAGAAAATTTGAGGAAATTTAAGCTTTATCAGAGTATAAAACAAATTCTAGCGATACAGTAGAGCGAAAAACTAATGTGATGGACCTGGGGGTGATAAAGTCAGAGGATCTCACCTTCAAAGACCACAACAAAGTATCTACCTCATCTACTAGAATAATGATAGGATGGATAATGAGAACCTTCAAAACTAGGGACGCAGAGCCCATGACGATTCTCTTCAAATCGCGTGTTCTCTCTACGCTGGAATACTGATGTATACTAACTGCCCCCTTCAAGCAGGCGAAATTGCTGACCAGTATAATGTACAGAGAACTTTCTCGGCACACATAAGTACGATTAAGCACCTAAATTACTGGGAACGGTTGTAGTCCCTTGATTTGTATTCCCTGGAACGCAAGTAAGAAAGATTCATTATAATATACACTTGGAAAATCCTAGAGGAATTATTACCAAACTTAGACACTAAAATGACTCCAAACGAAAGCAAAAGACATGGCAAGAGATGTAATATTCCCTCAGTGAGAAGCAGGGAGGCCACGAGTACACTAAGAGACAACACAGTAATTGTCAGGGGCCCAAGACTGTTCAACTGCCTCCCAGCATACATAATGGGGATTACAAATAGACCCCTGTCTGTCTTCAAGAAAGCACTGGACGGGGACCTAAAGTTAGTACCTGATCAGCAGGGCTGTGGTTCGTACGTCGGTTTACGTGAGGCCAGCAGTAACAACCTGATTGATCATACCCTGATCCATCACGAGGTCTGATATCAGACCGGGCCGCGGGGGCGTTGGCCCCCGAAACTCTCTCCAGGTAATGTCCAGGTATGAAATCGTGATTTCTGGTATTATTTCCAAAACAACCTCTTCAGCAACCGAATTATGATTAGTGTTGCCGGCAGCTGTCAATTTCAATCTATAACAATGGAGTCGTGAGTTATGAGTTTTTACCAGCTGTGATTTTGCTTACAGTGGCTATTTATTATATTTTATTTGAATGATGGGAACAATGCCTATATATGCCATGTAAAATCTTGTTTGAGGGTTTTGACTGGATTGTAAGTTTTTCAAAGATACTCGTCATAATATTTCCGGCTAATTTCAATCATCAAATAGACGAAATCTAATCTATGTCAGTGGTTTAGCTTGATTGTTATGACTGATTCCTAGAGCGGTTATTTTATTCCTAAAAGCAATCTTTAATTTCCTTTTTTCAAAATACGCAGGCATTCAGGTACTAAAACAATCTTGTCTCTCTCCAATATTAACGTTCTCAAGTTTCTGTTATTTCAAGTTTCTTTCCATTGTGAATACATCGTCACTCCACTAAAATTAACATTTTTCCTTATTTCTTATCTACAAGAACTTCCAAAGCATATTGGGAGGTTCCAGTAGATTATGGCGAATTATTAACACCAGTCATATTTCAGGGGCTGTAAACAGGAGGTGAAGCCAGGATAATAGTCCATTTCAGGCCACTGTGATACCCTTATTTGGGTCACTTCCGCGGATGAAACGAACTCTACTGTGTTTCTGGACTAACCAGTGTAACTAAGAAGTTCCCAATTAAACCTCATAAACAACCTAAAAGCCTGCTGCACTGTGCTAAATTAACCATTTTTCACTTATTTTAACGTATTTATCAGCCAAAACCAACCATGTAATTACCCAAGTCAATTAAGCAACCCCCCACAACCCAACTCTCTGTATCCTCTACTGAACTACTGAGAAATCTTCCCACTTTATAGGGTAAAATTTAAATATTAATTTTAAACAGTAATTTTTCATTTTCAATCAGAAAAGGAAACCTGCAGCATTTGTGCACTTGCAGATACTTATTAATTGTATTTTTTACTCTTTCCAACAAGAACATACATTGAAAGTATTGTAAAAGATTCGTGAGAAACTTGAAAATATAAACTTAAATTTCAAGTTTAATCGTTCAAATAACTTTCTATCATTTTAGATATTCAAGGAAACCTATGAGTGATAGCCATTAAATTATGCCATTCAGTTAATTAGTAATTGAGCAATGATGTCATTTACACGTTAAGACGAACACACTGTTCAGTAACCATGACAACTGACCAAGTCAAATAATTAATATATATTAAACAGGGGGGGGGGGGGGGGGG